TCAGATGAAGCTCAGCAGATCAGTACTGAATCAGTGGATATTCACCCAGACTAGACTTTTTTAGAAGAACCTGAGAGGATCATAAATTATAGTGTGAAACAACTACGAAGCAGATAGATCCCTTATGTTAAAGTTCTATGGAAGCATGGATCTGAAAAGGATGCAACTTGAGAGAAAGAGTCAAAATTGAGGGAAAGTTATCCTCATCTATTTAACTACGGTATGATTTTATTTTGTTGCTTTTAAATTTCGATGAAAAAATTTTTATTAGGAGGGGAGAATTGTAAAACCCAAAATGGTCGATCTTAAGCGTTGCACGCATTTCGATACGCCACAACGAGATTTAAGTGAATTTTTTAAGTCGTCGGATCTCGATGAAAATAATTTTATAAAATTCTAAGCGAAATTTTGAGTAAATCGAAATAAAGAGCCTATATGGAATTTTGATTAGTTTGGGAATTAAAAATCGAAGAAGTTTTTAAAACTTTCAAATATGACTAAATAACCCTTAAAGGGGTCTTAAGGAAACTATTTCATGCAAGGGCAATTAAGTCATTTGGATATCCCGAACACCCTAAAGCATGAAGAGGCCGAATCCCTCCCCATTTTTGTGATTGTTTTGTTCGGCCGAATCGAAGGGAGAAGGCGGACGAGAGAGGGGCGACTGGGAGACTTCGTGGGCGACTCCGGCGACGAATTCCGACGAATTTCTTTGAAGGAAAGTGTAGAGAACATTAAGAGAAGGTTAAGGTAAGTTGTAATGAAGAAATTTCTCAAATTTTGGTAAAGGTTTCTTTAAAGGAAATTTTTAGGGTTTTGCTAAAACTTATAATTTCTTTGGGAAACTTATGGGGAATGTTAGGAGAAGTGTTTTAATCATAAAAACGAAGTTTTCCCCAAAACTTTTTGAGATTGGAAAGTTAGGATTTTTCATAACTTGTGAGTTTTTTTAGAAAACCCTTCACAATTTTTGTTCCTAAAGACATTAGAAGAGTTATAATGGCGGAAATTTAAGTTTTTAGCAAAATTTTATTTTTTTCTAATTTTTATAATAAAATAATCCAAAAATATTAAACCCTAATTATTAAAGTAATATGGGGGAGTTTTGGAATGCATTTAGAATGGAATTAGTGAATTTTAGGTTTCTAAAAATTGGGATTTTTAGTAAATCCGAAAATAGAATTTAATTAATGTGATTATTGAAAATGTTTTATGATTAATGTTTAGTATGTTTGTATTTCCATTTATCCTTAGTTGTCGATTGTAAGGGGACACCTAGAACATAAGTGACATAGTTTAAGTTTACGTACTGGTGAGGTAGGTACTTGTATTTAAAGTAAATTCATGTTTCTAAATTTTGTTTTATGTTAAATAAAACATGTGTTTAGTTTATAATTTTCCTTTTCATGCAAATCTTCTCATGTTAGTATTAAATGTTTTTTTATTATTCATAGAATGTTAAATAGTTTTACTTATACTTATTGTCACATTAAATGTTCAATAAAGTTAAGTGAAATGACATGTCCTTTAACTAAAATAAAGATAAACATGAGGACATTCGAAACACATAAATTTCACAATGACTTAATCCCTATGATATATATAATGATTGCATGTGCATGATGATCCGGAGTACAAAATGGTAAAGTGGCTCTTCAGAGCCAATGGTAAAGGGGCTCTTCGAAGTCAATGGTAAATGGGCTCTTTGGAGAAAATGATAAAAGAATGGCCAAATTTGACTATGTACCTGATCAGTATAAAACACTGGTACTTCTAGGACGGTGTATTATATTATGACTAAGCATTTTATGCATTTAAAGAAAGGTTATGATGAAAGAAAAAGTTTATGAGAATAAAAAAGTTCAAGGAAAAAGCTAAAGAAAATTGTGTATGAAAAAATGTTATACAGTATATGCATATCAAATGTCAAGTGTGATTTTTTATTCTCAATTTCTTCTAAATGAAAATTTCATAAATAATGTCATGTTTTTATTATTTCATGAATTTATGATAAATACATGTTATCTGCTGAGCGTTAGCTCACCCTGCTTGGGGGAATATTTTTCAGGAGAGACTGCTAGAGAGTAATGGATGAAAGATCGATTACCTACCGTACCGTCGTAAAGGATCTCAGGATGACAGGTTTTTATGATCATGTTATGTAATGTGTTTGTAGATATATCATGGGCTACTGTAATATTTTCAATTTATGTTTTAAGAGATTTCATATTTTGATGTATTAGAGATATTTCAATTTTGAAGTTTAGTGACTCTTTAATTCACTGGTATGTTATTGGATGATTATTGTGTGTTATGTCATTAATGAAATGAAAGTTAAAGGTGTTCTCCGTACGACCATCTATTCCCACCCCGTTAATTCAGGATAGCCGGGCTAGGACGTGACACAAGCCCAATGCATTCTTCCACTTCAACCATTCAACTTGAATTCTGTTAATAATATCCCCATCTATTTCACCATCACTCTGAACAATCGATCGAAGATATCTAAAACATATACTCTTATTAATGACTTGATCGCCCAAAGTCACAATCCCCTCACTAGGCCTATTAATAGTAAAATTACACTCCATATATTCAGTTTTAGATCTACTCAAGTGAAAGCCTTTAAATTCTAATGTTGACCTCCATAATTCAAATTTACCTTCAACTCCCTCTCTAGTTTTATCAAGAAGAAGAATATCGTCAGCAAAAAGCATACACCAAGGTACATCCTATCGCAAATGTTTAGTTAGAACATCCATGACTAAAGCAGAAAGATATGGGCTTAAGGCTTATCCCGAATATAATCCAACCGAAATAAGAAAATATTTGGTCAAACTACCTTGTGTTTGAACACAAGTAATAGCTCCTGCATACATATATTTAATGATTTGAATATAAGCATTATTAACTCTTTTCTTTTTAAGAACTCTCCATAGCACTTCTCTTGGAACTTTATTATATGCTTTCACTGAATCAATAAATATCATATGTAGATCCTCCTTATTTTCTCTATGTTTCTCCATCAAACCTCTCAATAAATGTATGGCTTCCATAGTAGACCTACCCAGCATAAATCCAAATTGATTTTGAGAAATATTTGTATCACGCCACAACCAATGCTCCATAACTTGCGCCGTACCGGATCCTGACTCTAATATTTATTGGGTTGTATCCTATCAACTTTAACTTTATATGCACCCCAGGATAAGGAATTAAACCGTCCTTCGAACAAGGAAACTAACAGTGGATTTTTCTCAAGACAAATTAAGTCAAAACCAGCTTACAAGACACAGACACATACCTGAGCGAACCCCATATTTTTCTCAAGGTTTCCATACTTTTTAGCATTTTTTTTGGACTATTGGATGGTGGCTTTTAAATTTTTTGATAGAGAAAAATAAGGGTTGTAAGTCTCAAAATGAGTATGAGATGGTCCAAAAACATTCAAAATATCTTAACTTTTTTTCCATATTTTTGTTTAAAAGCAATTATTAAGCATTCTAACATTTTCAGCCCGCACCGCTTTGGGGTGTCTTGATAATTTACATTTTATCTATGTGAAATTTATTTTACATTTTTTTTCAAAACAACCAATTTAATATTTTGCTTGTTACATTTGTTTGTTTCATTGCACCAACACTCTTATATTTTAGTTCACACCTTCCTTGGAGTGTTGATCTTATGCTCGTTGCATTTATTTAAATAAAAATTTTTGGACATTCTAATATTTTCAACCTGCACCACTTCCGGGTGCTGTCGGCTCCGAAAATTCGGCCCCGGCCTTCGCTCGCTGCTTTTCTTTTTGTTTTGGCGAGGGAGTTTTAACGGATTAAGTTCCGGGGTAAATTTTGGAAGGCAAATGGGTTTGTAGATAAGACACTACCCAGAGATTTCGCCCTCATTTGGTGAGGACTTTATGATCTGAGTTCTGGTTTCCTATAGGCAATAGTTAATTATCCCTCCCACTAACGAGAGAGAACTTTCGATTAAGGCTAGTCGTCAATCAGATACGTAGAACATACGTGTTATCTGGCATATAGTAGCAACATGGGTTTTGAATTGAAAGTTTGAAGGTTTGGAAAATTTGATATTTAAAATAGAAATTTCACCATCTTTCACTTAAAGCGGATGGTGGGGGAATGGATGATAGACCTGATCAAGATCACATGGTTTCGTCGTCCCGGGCTATCATGGTCCCTGGTCTACTTAGTCAGAGGAGGTAGTCGACCCAACCTGACAGAAGGATCCTTGTCAGCAGCCATGGGTTGCTTCGTCCAAGAATACCTTGTAGACCTGGGTTGTCTCTCTCTCTCTCTCTCTCTCTCTCTCTCTCTATTTAATGGATCGAAAGAAGCAAGGGGTCGTGAGGGAGATCGTGAATGGGAAGGAAGATTCAGCGATCGGAGAGGAAGAAGGATTGTGGAATGGAAGTGTGGAGCCGAAGGGAGAAGCAGCGAAAGGCTTCGTTTGGGTCGGTATTTAACGACGAGAATGGGGAAGCGATCGAGAGTCGATTTCACGCAGGAAGTGCGGAGAAGTGATCGTTCGTGGCGCCGATTCAGCGGGATTCGTGGATCCGACGGAATACAAGGTATTTTTTGTCGTTATTTTTGTCTTCCTTCGGGTATTATACGAAGGTCAACAGGTGCATTGATAATTTACATTTTATTTATGTGAAATTTATTTTTCAAAGTTTTTCAAAACACCCAATTTACCACGCAGGTATTTACCATGAGCAATTATTAGTGAACTAGATCTTAACGATGTAAAACATAGAAAAGTTCTTGGGTAAGCCAGTATTGTTTTATAAAAAAGAAGCTAATAATGAAAAACAACGCTATAATGTAGCACTACAGTTATAAAGGTCAAATTCCATGAAAAGGATCGAGGTTTGACACGAGAATGCAATTACATATTATTTGAATTTACAAATTTATTCAGGGAAATCAGTAGATGACCTCCAAATGCATTGTTATGCATAAAGGACAAACACTTACAGAGGCAAGTATCGGTGGCTGTTTTAACTTCTGCATGACAAAGAGTATTTTAGAAATGACCTGCACCATTAATAGTGACAGTAAGGGACTCCAGCAATCACATAAATCACACTTTTGAGAAAATGTCAATTTGATTTCTAAATTAGAAAGAAATTATCCATATGTCAATATGGGTTATGCATTGCCATGAGAACTGCAATATAGAAAAAACACTGCACTAAACATTCAGACAAGTATATGAATAAATCGTTGGCAGAAACCAAGCGATTAGTAATAGAGTAACACTGAAATGTAAAAATCTTTCTTCGTGGATATTTGGGCAACAATCTTAAAAAGCAGTGTAATTTCTAAATAAACTAAAAAAAATTGCAGGGAAAAAAAGAGTTTTCTATAAAATGTGCAATCTTTTGGCAGCCACGTTGGTTGTTTCCACAAAAAAAGGTCCCTATGGACATTTCCATTAAAATTCCTGTCAATTAAAACTTGAAATTTGTCTTAAGGCATTTCTTAATTCATTAGGACTCATTATGAAAAAAATAAAGGATACTGACCTATATAGGCTAGTTCTTGGTGATCCAAGCCTCACCACTGATGTTAAACAGAAGCAATAAATTCCAAAAAAATCACCAAATGGCAAAGCCAATAAAATTACAAACTGAACATGATCCTCCTCTCTCTCACACACCCCATATATAAATTCCTTATAGGGTATAGCGAACTTCACAGTATTTACACGAGACTGCATGACATATTCTTTCCTTATTTTTATATCCAAATGAAGTAAAGATTGATGCCTCAAATATTCCAACAAATTCTGACCCCCACCAACCCCTCTTTCACCATTTAAGTTCCTCATGGGTTTGCCTTATTTAACACTTATCTCTGTCCACTATAAAAAATTTCCCGCATCTTGCAATATTCAACAAATACAGCGACCTGTTTTCATCTTTTAAATTTGATGTCCCATGAAATGACTTTGGGCTCCAAAAATTTGTGCGCCGGCCTCTCCGCAACACTCTTTTTTTGTATCGTCGAGGAGAGTTATGTAAAACCCGAAAATGTCAATTTTAGACATCGCATGCTTTTCAATGTACCACGACATATAATGTGAATTTTTAAAGTCGTCGGATTTCGACAAAAATATTTTTTTAAAATAGTACATTAAATTTCGATCAAAACAATATAAGGGACTTATAGTAAATCGTGCACGAATTTTGAATTAAAAATCGCCGAAGTTTTATATTAAAATGATTATTTACTTAATAACCCTTCAATTCTTTATGAAACTAAATCATGCAAGGGGCAAATTTGTCAATTGGTTTTCCCCCACCGACGTCCTAGTAAAAAGGGACACAAGCGTTCGGTCCCTTCTATTCTCAAACGCCTGTTTCGTTTCGGTCGAAGGAAGAAAGGGAGAGGGAGGCGACGGGCAAGGCTTCAGGCGGCGATGGTAGGATGGTTTCCGGAATTTTTGGGAGAAAACAAAGAGAGAAGTCAAGGGAAGTCTAAGGTATGTTCCTAAACCTATCAATCTTCTTTGCCCCTTATATATTTGGAGGAGAAAATTTTAGGATTTCTCCAAAACTTAACTTTTTTAAAAAAGTACGTTAGGGAAGATTTAAAAACATTTTCTAATTATGAAATTTGTATGTTACCCAAAATTTTTCAAGTTTCAAAATTTAGGATTTTTGTCGAATGTTGATTTTTATGAAAAGTTCTTAACAAGTATTATTCCAAATGATCGTAGAAGGGTTTTTAAAGGTAAAAAATAGGATTTTCCATAAAATATTATTTTCCTAATTTTTAATTAAATTAAATTCAAAAATAGAAATGCTTAAATGTTAATTTAATAATGAAAAGGTTTTGACATGAAAATATAATGAAAATCATGTTTTCAAAGTTAGGGTTTTCGAATAAATCCGAAAATTAGGTTTATTTTAAATTAATTTAGGCGTTGGTAATAGGTTAATTTGGGTAAATAGTGAAATATATATATATATATATATATATAGAGAGAGAGAGAGAGAGAGACTAGAATAATTTTAAAAGAGAAGAAGAATTTAGTTTAAAGTTACTAAATTAGCTTATGAACGAGAAATGATTTTCCTTTAGGTGTTAATCTTGTGACCTCGAAGGAAAGAGTACGAGCGAAGAAATCAAAACCCTTGAATCAAGTGAGTAAACATGTTTTTATGTTATGGTAATTGTATTGTTTTTAAATTTCATTTAATTGTTATTGCAAGTTAATTACTTTACTGTATTGCAAATGATTCATCTCTCGCATATTAAATAATTTACTATATATTACTGCATAAAGCCTAAATTAAAGCAAAGTATTATGATATAAGAATGATATGATTGTTATAGGATGCTTGCATGTGCATGTTGAATTGATGAACCTCACCCTGTTATGGTACTAGCTAGGGATGCTGTACTCATGCACGTTAAAAAGAAAAGGTTATGGAAAAGGAAAAGGAAAAGATAAACAAGTACTTTCATTGGTACTAAATTAGATGGTGGCTCCTGTGACGGTTGTACTATATATAAAAATGAGAAATATATGAATACAGTATGACGAATGTAAATTGAATATGATATGATATGATTTTTATGATTTATGCATATGTATAAATGAAATAACATATTTTGTCTATTGTCTTAAATTACTGTTGTTTAGAAGCATGTGTTACTCGCTAAGCTTTGGCTTATTGTTGTTGCTTTAACTTTTCTTTCAAGTAAATTTAATATAATCAAATGAGTAGAAGAAACGAAAATGTGTATCGTAGATGTGAGGCACCAAAAGAAAGGTATTTAGATTATTTTATATCAGTTTATATATTTTTGAAGTTTAGTGGCTCTTTTAATGAACTGGAAATATATTTAAAATATGATTTTATCGTCCGACCGTCTGTTCTTGCCTCGTTAATTTAAGTCCCGGGCCGGGTCGTGATAAATTAAGTTAGTGGGTTTAAGTGGGGAGAGGTGCTTAAAGAATTTTTTTTTATTTAGGAAACTTTTCTCTCTTTCTTTTAGTCCTCTCTTTATTATTATTTATAAATATATAAAATTTTTAAATTATTCTTCAACTCGTTCACCACATCATCGTTGTCATCGTTTATGCATGTCTGCACCTCAATTCGTGCGCATGAAATTTAAATTTTAGTCGATCGATGACCCAATCAATATGGGTGTTGATCTTAGCAATTTTCGTTGCTATAGACGCACTGGAGCTTTCCGTTCGCGAACTGAGGCCATTTCAATGACTTAGGTTTATGGTTGACGCATGTCGGGTGAGTTATGCAGGATGTCGACCTCTTTTACTTTCAAAATTCACCGTGTGCAGTCGACCTGACCCAGACACTAGTATTAAGGTCAATAATAACAATGAGGGCTAAACATTTGTAGAATATTTATGCTTGATTTAGCAATGTTATTCAGAAAATCCTCCATTCGTTTGGTAGAAATGATTTTGAATGATTCCCAAACACTTTAAAGCAATTTTCTAGCATCTAGTTTGTCTATGAGGACAACTTGTTAGGCTAATGGATGCAAATAAAAATCTATACTAGAGATACATAAATGAAAGAACCACGCCTGGTTGCTCGCTAGATGCTAGAACTGGGCATTGGACAAAGTCATCATACAAAATATCTACTAAAACCATTTAGGGATGAATCCGTCTAAAATAGGAATAAAGGATTCTATGATGCAATACACGCAATGCATAAAAACTAACACATGATTATGTTTAGAATAAGCTAGTATTTTAAAGTTAAATCTTATTACACTTAATTATTAGAATTGTCTTTATTTGAAAATTAGATGAATGAATTTCTAAGGAATATTTATCTAGATTTGAATTACAGTTAATTTGATTTTATATTGTAACTCAATTATTTCAATAAAAACTAGTGGTTAACTAGATGCTATTTGGATCATTGAATGTCAAAGTTTGAAAAGATTCTCCCTTTTTTCTTTTTCCTTTCCTAAGATTCCTTTCTACAACCAGCTTCTCAAGGGATTCACTCTCCCCTTAAACAATATCCTTTCTCTTTTTCTCTCTCCAATCAAAAATCAACTCCTCGCAACATCTATAGGAAACCACACCCCACAACAATGCTTCCCCTATATTTCTTCTTCATACATGATTTTTCAAGGAAAGTTTTGATTCCAAAGGCAAATTAAAGGAGGAAGAGGAAAGAAAAAAAATATGCTGGAGAAATTTTTAAAAGAGTCATCATTAATTTGACATCAAAATCATTTTTTTAATTACTTTGCAAGAATTCAATACTTGGACCTACACTTTCAACATTAAAGGTAGTGCCACTTAACCATTATGGCGTCACATTTCAAATTTTAAAAAAAAAACATTATGGATCAAAATCAACTATTATTTATATCAAAGACGAATTTCTTAAAGATTGTTGACCTCTATATATATTTTAAAATTAATTGAGTACATTGATGAAGACGACTAACATATATGTCATTTATTAAAGCATCGGGACACCTCAATCGCATTCCAAATGGCTCAAAGCTTTATCCAATCGTGAAATAGATCACAATAATGCACTTAGAACACCGCATTTGCTAGGAAGAGTTATTCATGCGTAACTCAATCGAAAATGATGACAAGCATGACTGTTGGCAAGCATGATGCTACATAAAATTAATCAAATAACCTCTGATCATCAAAGGGACTATGTCGATGCGATAAGAGCATCATATTTACTTAAGAGGGGACCCCTCACAGTTAAATTGACTAAAGGCAGTTGAAATCGACAGACTACAGATGAAATATTGTGCGACCTTGCACAAATATCGTTAGTTTGCTAAACGGACTTAATCCTTGTGCCCATAACATCAAAATCATATAGATAATGCTATAATATTGCTCGTGCCATCAAAGATGATCAAAATCGACGAACTACGGATGAAATATTGCGCGGCGTTACCCGAACACCGTTTGTTCGCAAGACGGATTTCGTCGTTGTGTCTGAAACATCAAAATCATATAAAAATGGCTGAAATATGCTCATGACATCAAAGATGATCAAAAT